TCTTGCGCAAGAGAGTGTCTACACTGCAACAGATGCTTTTGCGCAAAAGTATTTGTGCCAGTATAGATGCTCTCTTGCACAAATACAGAAAAACTTTTCCGTTTAAAAGTGTTTGCGCAAAATCGTGTCAGTCTAGACACAGCCATAGGTCTGATTTCCAGAAAGTTATCAGGAACTGTGAATACTTCCAACCCTCAAACTAGGCCCAAGGTGTCTCTGAAGCATTCAGAATTAACAGCCATTTAAAGTATTAAAGTTTGGCCCATGTGACTTAAATCAGTAGCAGAGGGGGATTGGCAGGGAGGAATTTCCTCACTCCCCGACTTTTGTTTAGTCCTTGCTGTTTTACACCTGCTACATGTACATCAGATCAACAGTTTATCTGGTATTGCTGGTAAAAAATGAAGGAACTCCCTGGTCTTTCACTCTAGAAACGAAACTGGACTGACTGCCAGACCCGCCCCTGCTGAGTAGGATTGAAATTCCCTCCTAATGCAGGATGAAATGGTGCTGAGACTCCCCTGCCCCCGCCATTCAAAAGGGCCCAGGGCTCCCAGCCACCACCACCACTAACACAGGAACTGTGGTGACCGGAGGCTCCCAGCCACCACCACCACTAACACAGGAACTGTGGTGGCCGAAGCCTCAGGCCCTTTAAATTGCTGCTGGAGCGCTGTGGGGTGCGCTCCAAGCATTTCTTATGGATGCGGGAGGTGCTGGAGTAGTAGTGCTCTGGGCAGAGCTGAGGGCTGGCTTCCCCAGCCCCGCCCATTCTGAGAGCACGGAGCTATCCCTCCCCCATTTAATGGCCTAGCATGTCTGTCAGCCCTTCACTCTACATCTGTCCCTAGGAATCCCACTCTTTTGAATTCACCTCCCAACTTTGAAGCCCCGTATCACAGTCTTGTCTCTCTGGCCGTACGTAGATGGGTAGATGTCACTCCTCTTAGCCCTTATCTACATCACCCCTGCGTCATCCAGAGAGTGAGGCCTACTGAAATAAGAATTAAATCCAGATTTCACAAATTATTTCCAGGCACAATTTATTTTTCCTAGATACATCATTAACATTCATAGTATGTAAAATGCAGAACACGCAAGTTGCACACGAGCAATGAGAGAGGAGAATGAAGCTCTGTGCTTAGGAAATCTCTTGCGGCTATTGCAATAAGAAACCATCTGATGACTTTTCCACTTACTACAGGAGTTCGTGCTTCAGCAGAGATTGCTCGGAAGGACTTGAGTAGAATGAACAGATATAAAACCATCATTAAGAGCGCTGCCAAAAAGTACTGTGTGGATCCATCTGTGGTTGCTGGTATCATCTCCCGAGAGTCACATGCTGGAGCTGCCCTAAAAGATGGCTGGGGTGATGGTGGAAATGGATTTGGTTTGATGCAGGTCAGTAATTGTCAATACACTAAGACCAAGCACAGCCAAGCACTTGGCAGAGAGCTAGGTGCATTTTCCGTACTGCAGCCCAGACAGAGATTGATACTTGGCCCACTGCCAGAAAATGCATTAGTGTTGAGGCACCAATGCATTGCTCTGGCATGTGTCAGACCGGGCAGTAGAGAGGCTGCCTCTTGTTCAACCTAAGCAAGTTCAACATTTTACCTTTCCACACAGAAGTTCCATTTCTCATTTGTATTATTTACTTAGGCGGCATTAACAGGGTTGCAAATCTCTGCTGTGTAAATACCAGAACAAAACAACAGTCATTAAAGTCTCAAGCTTTCATTTAAAGAGACACTATGCAGTAGTCCAGACATCTGACCTCTGTATTTGATACCATATTGCCTCATTACAGCATCTATGATGGCACTGGTACTGATTTTATTAAACAGAGTGGAATCTCTGATTGCAGACATTCCCCAGAGCAGGAATAGGTATTAATTGTAATATTCAAGGAAACTGGACAGCTGTGCTGTTTGTTGATGGTGGGTGTACTCTGAGTGTTGACCACATCATAACTAAACATCTAAGTATCTGTTTGTCTTTGGTTTCTTTGGCTGGGTACATAATAGGTCCATTAATTTTTCCATAACAACTTCCCATGCCCATAACATTTCTTGAGGGCTTCACTATTTTTGTTTCTCAGCTGAGAGGTATCAATAGTCAGCAGCTATGAGCAGATGAAAGGTTCGTTCTTCATTTACTTTCATGTGGCTAGTTCTACTAGGAAGGCTCTAGCCGTATTCCAAAGGATTATACAGAAATGATTTGTTGATATTTGGTTACAAATTGTATCTCAGTACTAGCCAGTGACCATATTGCACGCATTTTCCTTCACCAGTTTGTCCAATACTTATCCCCTACCTATAAAAAAATCCTCTTTCACTACTATTTCTCCAACACTTCTCTGTCTCCCAGTCTCCTTAACCCAATTCTTTTAGTGTTAATTAGCTATACAGAATCTTTTCCCAGTGTGTCATATACAGACTTTTGTTGTTGTTAAGAAAGCTGGCTATGAAGGTTGATATTAATTTGTTATAACTTTTTTGTTTCATAATTGACCAGTTGCCATGGCTTCTATTAGAGTTATGTTTCTGTATAAAACAGCTTTCTTAGAAAGTTGAAAACATAATTCCCTAACTTTAGAGTACTGGTACCATGGAAGAATGGGCCAGTTAATGTTAGTTTTGTTATCTAAATGTGTTTAAAAAGTTTCTTTATTGAACAGATGTCCAACCATATGCATTCTATGGCTCTCCCAATTTTTAAAAATCATAGAATGCTAGACCTGGAAGGGACCTTGTGAAGTCATCAAGTCCAGTCCCCTGCCCTCACGGCAGTTCCAAACACCATCTAGATAGGCGTCTGTCGAACCTCCTCTTAAATATCTTCTCTGATGGAGATTCCACAACATCCCTAGGCAATTTATTCCACTGTTTAACCACCCATGTCTAGCCTAAACCTCCCTTGCTGCATTTTAAGCCTATTGCTTCTTGTCCTATCATTAGAGGCCAAGAAAAACAATTTTTCTCCCTCCTCCTCGTAACATCCTTTAGATACTTGAAAACCACTATCATGTCCCCTCTCAGTCTTCTCCTTTCCAAACTCAACAAGCCCAGTTTTTTCAGTCTTCCCTCATAGCTCATGTTCTCTAAACCTTGAATCATTCTTGTTGATCTTCTCTGGACCTTCACTGGTTTGTGATCTAGATTATTTGCAAGGGTATCATTAGAGAGGAGGAATAATTATCTTCTTTCTAGTTCAATCCCAAATGTTTAGAATAGCCTTTGCTCTAGCATGTGTGTGATTCCTGGAGGGTGTGATTTTTTAAAAAATTAATCCATGATAAACTAGGGATGTTTTCACTGCCACATTAACTGGATGTTGCATTGTAAAGCCAGTCTCCCCTGCATTTAACACTTCACTTTTACATCAAAAGCTAAGTATGGGACACTTCCAGTCCACTTAATTAGCCTCACTAGTACAAGTCCTATAATTGACAGGTACCCTTTTTTCCTCATTATAAAATACTTGGTTTCTGACTGTTATTCTTCTCTGGTTCATTATCTGATAAAGAGTGTCTTATCTACAAAAGTGATAGAAATGTAGCCGTGTTAGTCTGGTGTAGCTGAAACAAAATGCAGGACTATGTAGCACTTTAAAGACTAACAAGATGGTTTATTAGATGATGAGCTTTCGTGGGCCAGACCCACTTCCTCAGATCAAATAGTGGAAGAAAATAGTCACAGCCATATATACCAAAGGATACAATTTTAAAAAAATGAACACATATGAAAAGGACAAATCACATTTCTGTTCTGATGTGTAGGAGATGCAAAGTCAGATGCAAAGTGGGTCTTTGCCCACGAAAGCTTATGCTCCTACACTTCAGTTAGTCTATAAGGTGCCACAGGACTCCTCACCACTTTTGCAGATTCAGACTAACACAGCTACCCCGCTGATACTATTTCAAAATAGCGAGTCCACACTGAGTGGACCCTGAACCGAAGTTAAGGCTGGCTGGAACCAGTGCCGGCAGGGCATCAGGTTAGGACTTAGTGTGTGGGGCTGCTGCCTGAGGCTAACTGAGCTCTGTGCCTAAAGGGACCCTACCCCACTCCGGACAGACAGTTCTCAGGGTTCCCCGCTTGCTTGTCTACCTGATGAGGGACAGCAAAGCAGTTCTGTCTTGGAGTGCCCTGAGTGACCGAACTCGGGACACCACATCACTTGGCCATATGGAGCCAGAGCTGCCCCTGGGCACACCGGTGCATCTTGCGGCTGCACTTGCTGCAAGCTGCCATCGTGCCATATCCAACAAAATAATTAAAGTGGGATAAACAGAATTTTTGAAAAGTGTCATGACCGACGTCAAAACCAACAAAAATATGATTACAGTATTACAAAAATATGATTATTACATTTATTAGCATATGGCTTTTTACTGGGGTTTTGTTACTGAAGATATTTTTATAAGGGAAAAATCTTTCCTGTTAGGTTACCTTGTCCATCCCCTACCTATGCAAGATTGTTTTCCTGTGCTGCCTACTGTACTCTAGTACTTTGTCTTTTCTATTTTAAAATGATTCTAGTGAAGAGTCACCATTAGTCTCAGAAGACTATTCCCCAATCTAATGTAGACATACCCTCACATCCTTCCACATACCCCTCCCTAATCCCTCTTCCTGATGTCAAATAAAATACATGTATTTTCATGAACATAAACTCTCTTTATTTAACAAAACTGTGGGGGAGGGAATGAAACTCTAGTGAGACTGGGGAAAGGAGGCGGGAGAGAGGAAAAGAGAGGGTGGGAGAGAGGAGGGGGAAACCTGAGAGGAGGGATCTTGAAGGGGGAAGCAAGGGGAAGAAGTGGGAGGGGAAGCTCAGGGTTCAGGGTCTCGCTAGACCAACTTGATTTTCATGGAAACCTGCTCCTGGGTTCGCATGTAGCCTTTAGTGGCCAGGGCTGCCGGGCTCATGCCACAGACAGCCACGTTCCTCTGTCTAGTGTGGAGTTCATAGACATTGGGGGCATCCCCCACAAACCTGAATAAGGTCCATGATTTCCACCTTGGACCAGGAAGGTGCCTGCCTCCTCCAAGCCCTGTCAGGCTCCTGGGAGCTGGCAGACTGCTCCTGGGGAGCGGTGGAGGGCTGGCTGGCCGAGG